AACATCTGCAAAAACACAACCAAGCTCAGAGAACACCAAGGTCCCCACAGTTCAACCCTGAGCTACAGATACTCTATCAGAATGTGTATTTTATTCTAAAGATTGTAAGCCATCTAGAGTCAACTGATGTCATATAAGTTTTATATAATAAGCAATATCAATTAAATTAGATAGGATTTTGCATCGGACTTTTCCAACATCTCTTTTCCAGTGATGCTAATGAAAACACTTTTTCTAGGCCACCTTCTTTTCTTCTAAGACTCCCTTTACACTGTTTCTCCCTGCCAGTATTCTGAACTTCCATGTATCTAGTAGATTTGGACATCTATCATTGTGAACTTGATGGAGGACATTTAAAGAAAAATAAGTCCACAGTCCATTTCTCATTGCTCATCTTAAGATTAAATGGCAAGAAAGAAGATGCCACAGACAAATATTGCACAAAACAGAACTAAAGTTTTAGTCCAAGAATGGGGAGATTGTGGTCACACATGGTTAGACTATAGCTTCTGTTACTCATAGCCAATACTTTCGATAAGAAATAAATGGACTTGTAGTATTAGGGAAGTGACAGATTTCCCATCATGGCTTAGGCCTTTGCTTAAGGAAAGACATCTTAGCTAAATGAAAAAATATTTATTTAATTAATAAAAATTGCTTACCACATCTTCTTCAGTCCATGCACCGATATCAAATGACGGCAGCAACTGTGTAAGAAATATGCATTTAAAAGTGCAATTTCTTTTTTCTTTTTCTCTATTTCTTCATCTTCTGTTAGTATATGGGTTTTTTTTTAGCAGGTTCTTTGAAAATTTTGAAGATTGAACTGATATGTTACCAATACAAAGATGACATGTCCCCTTTTCTGAAACAAAATCCTTCCCCATTCAGCTAAGTTATTTATATTCTAATCTAATTCATTTTGGGTGACTTATGATATTAACAAGGCCACGGTTTTGTTTTGTTGTTGTTTTTTACATTTATTTGCCAGATCAGAATTTGAATGGATGCTACTCTGTGTGTACAAGAACCTCAAAGTAGAGTAAACCAAATTATCGTAAGTTAGCTTTTAATTAATATGTCAAGTTCTAATTTGAACTTTAAACTTAGACAAACTCTAATTTAGGTTTGCAAACTTAGTATTGAGGAGGCTGTTTGAGATTTGCTTTTCAATTTTATGTGAGTTATGTAAATTGTAATGAATGGTTAGTTGATTGCCTCTTAAATATCCCTGCAATGATGGAGAATGTCATTCAAAAGAAATGAACACTTAAGACTTGAAACTCAGTTCTGAAAACTACTGAACACTAGTGATATGATGGGGAACAGAAAGAAGGTGTCACTGAGTTGTTAATTTGTTTTTATTTATTAAATGTCTACATTGCCCATCTAACCTAAGTTTAAGCCAGGGCAGTTTTACAATAACGAATTATTAGATAAGCTGAGACTGAATCAATAGGGAAATATGGAGTAAGATCAGGGGTGGGATTCAAAATTTTTAAAAACCGGTTATGTGGGTGTGGCTTAGGTGGTGGGTGTGGCTTGGTGGTCATGTGACTGGGTAAACATGGCTTGGTGGTCATGTTATTGGCTGGGCGTGGTCAACTCTATATCACTCACATCGAGGCACGCATCTCCTCGCCTGGCCTCTCATGACCGTGGGGATGCTGCAACAGTCGTAAGTGTGAAAAACGGTCATAAGTCACTTTTTTCAGTACCATTGTAACTTTGAATGGTCACTCCACACAAGCAAAGTATCAGCAAAGGAGGGGAAAAAACTCCAGAGAAGTTCCTGAGACAGGAAGTCTAGGCTTGCCAAGAATGTAATAAGGGTTAATGGAGAGGCAGTTTCTGTGAGCAACACCAGAATGTTTCCTTCCTGCCTTCCTTACAGGATTAGGCCAGTAATTTCTTCTAACAACCGGTTCTCCGAACTGCTTAGAATGTTAACAACCGGTTCTAGAGAATAGGTGTGAACTGGTAGAATCCCAGCCCTGAGTAAGATCACCAGTAACTGTGTAAGATTATGAAAAAAACATTGGCTTTTACTGACTGGTTGTGAACTAATCCATGGTAAATGTTATACAGGTTGTCCTCAACTTACAACAGTTCATTTAGTGACCATTCAAAGTTACAACAGCACTGAAAAAAAGTGACTTATGACCATTTTTCACAGCTACCACCTTTGCAGCATTCCCATGGTCATGTGATCAAAATTCAGATACTTGGCAACTAGTTCATACTTATGACCATTGCAATGTCCCAAGGTCATGTGATCACCTTTTATAACCTTGTGTCAAGCGAAGTTAATGGGGAAGCCAAATTCACTTAACAACCAGGAGGGTAATTAACAACTGTCGCAAGAAAAGTTATAAAAAGGGGCAAAACTCACTTAACAAATTCTCACTTAACAATAGAAATGTTGGGCTCAGTTGTGGTTGTAAGTTGAGGACTACCTGCCAAGCCATTATATTTCTGTTTGGTATACAAATTTCCCCATAGACTTATGCATTCCAGAGTGACTTCATTTGATAGGAAACCAGCACCACCTCAGGGTGTAGGGGAAACAGTCTGCCAAAGTACAGAAACAAACTTGAGAGGGGATGGACTAAACTCAAATTAGTTAATTAATATTTAATATCTTCATCAGAATGAAGAAAAGCAGGAACTATGGGATGGCAATACAACAGGCTATCCTGAAAGAAGCCATGAATTACTACTGCTTATTAGCTAGAGTAAAATGGACTTAATATTAACGTAGTGATTTCTTCATTGTTAGTGGATCTGGTATTTAGAAGTATAATCAGTAAAGTATACAAATACTTGGGGAAAAGGTATCATGATTCATTCAAAATTATCAAAAATCTTTTTCATTGTCAAGTTAGAATCAAGTGGTGACTTAAACAGCTCCAGTATCTTAACCACTATATCATATGGCCTGTACATCATGGAAAATTCCTTGGAGAATATACAGTATATACATTTTTAAGTTCCAAGTTGAAGTTTAAACTTTGTTAAAGTTTCAAGAATATCTTGCCTACAAATTCTCTTCACTCAAAACAATCACTTTAAAAAGGAGGTGGGGTCTCCAAAGTCTTCTGTAGGCTGACATGGCCTCTATATTATAGCCTTCCTCAACCTCTCCTGTGTGTAAAAAAATGTACAACATGTTTAGAAGATATGCTGTCTTCCAGGCTATATCCCTGAAATGTAGCAGATGATTGCCTGTAACAAGCAGTAGGTCCAAATTATGATTTGTATGCCTTTCCATCTCAATTATGCACAGTAGTTGATTGATTTGAGACTAGATGAGCAATGTATCATGGTTACAAAAATACGTTGCCTGCCCTATATCTATTCCTTATAAATTAAATGGTGTAACTTCAGAGTATTCAGAGATAAGAAACCTATAGCGCTGTATTTGTTGCAGAACTACAATTCCCAGCATCCTTCACTATTGGCTGTACTGGGTGAAACAGTCAAGAATTATTTTCAGTATAGATAGACCTTAAGATCATAATTGGGACCAGAATTGTAATCAAAAGTTGTTATGGTCATAAGTCAAGGGACCATATGAACAGACTTGATTTTATCTCCCTTTTTATGGCAGTCATAAATCAAAACACTGTGACATTAAGAAAATCATGTGGTTGTTAAGCAAGTCGCATGGTAATTAAGTGAAGTTCATTGTAACTTTGAACGGCCATAAATGAATTACTCATAAAACCATAGTATCTCTCCATGATGCATTTATATTGTTTTAGCTTTTTCAGCTTTTTGTGCCATGCATATGTCTGTATTGGAATTGGAATTGTTTCTAAATTGTTTTAATGTAGGAATGATTATGACATCCTTCTTATGCATGAATTAACACTGAAGGGAAATAACTGTAATAAGGGACATTTGTGATGCATTTGGTGACAAAGCTCAGATTAAAAGTTGGTGTAGATATATCATTAGGCACCCCATATAAACATCATGTTTTTAATCAGGACTGCAGGATTTTTGTGTATATATATATATATATATATATATATATATTTTAGTGTCATCACGTTTATTGTAAAGTCAAAAATGGAAACAAAGAGAAGCAAAGAAAAACAGCTCACAACAAATTAGGATTTATGACACCAAATTGTAAAAAAAAAAAAAAAAAGCTGATTACATTTTGGTGTCCTGTGAATAATTAAAAATGCAAACCATTAAATGAATGAAGCACGACATCACATAATTAAATACCATAATGAAAAAAGTAAATACTACAACAACAAAAAAATCTTGCCATGCAGAAATGGAACATTTCACATTCCATACAAATTTTATATTCTGTTCACACACTGTAGTAGTTTTGGCACAGAGTTATCACAGCACAGCAGAAAACAAGTCTCAACTTTTCTAAACTTGGTTGAAATACTTTCCATTTACATTTTCGTACAAATTTGGAATACAAATAACATTATCTCCTTATTAATCAATATAAAACATTTCAAAAGTGTAAAAAGCAAAAATACACCCCCCCCCCCCCAAAAATGGCAATATGCTTGATCAGATTTCAACAGAGAGATTTTACAATTTTCTGAAATAACATGTAAGTGCTTAGGATAGTTTGCCTCTGTAATGTTTCTGGAAGTATCCTTTTTCTATCAAGTAAGCTTTAGGCAGGCTTTTCAATAAAAATAGATTAGATTCAAGTTTTGAAAAGAAAATAAGGATTTTTTTTACTAGTTTCTAAAAATAGACCAGATAATTAGGACTAGGAAGTTATTACTACTTCTTATGCTATTTTCTTAAAACAAAAATGGGAAAAAATGCAATGATTTCAGGGGAATTACCAAACCAAATGTTGCTCAAGTAACAGATTTATTAAACTGTACAGAAGAAGATACTGTAATGCTAAAATAGTAAATTTCACTGTCCTTATTAATCCATTATTCCACTGATATGTCACAACTTAATACACCAGGGGAGAAAATTTGTATAACCTTAGGTTATCAATGGATATTACATAGGGTGAAAAAGACATTGTATTCTATTATTAATTTATATGACACTATTTATCTTTCTTTTTAGGGAAAAAAATCTAACAAAGAGGGAAAAATAGAATAGCTCCAAAGAGACTTCTGAATGCATTATGCCAAAGTAGATTATACTCTATTTCAGTGGTTCTCAACCTTTTCTTCATCACAGACACTCTTTAAAAACCTTTTGTGGCCACAGACTTAACTCAAGATTTAAATCGTAACATTTCTTCAAGCCTTCACTGTGATGACACTGTGCCCACCCCCCAGGGGGGTCCATGGACCATAGGTTGAGAACCACTGGTCTACCTGGATTCATCCTTGGTCTTCTGCACAATCCATATTTTGATTTGGTGGAAAGGAGGAGAACACAGGACCAAGTAGCAACTTTTCATGTGAGATAGGCTCCTCTCTTCAGCAGGTAGCCTTTACTGTGTACTCAGTACTCATATCAGGTTCAGATTTCACTTCAAATGTATGACAGAGTTTCCATACAGTTCCTCTCCAGATGTAGTATGGCTTTAGCTTCAGAAATTCACACTGGCTAGGTTGCTTTGGAATGGCGAAGGTAATAATGCCAATACATCTGGAGTGAGGGAAATTTTATTGTATGATTTCAGATCCAGTAGGTTTTTAATAGTTGTCCAAAACTTACTAAGTTACATTTAACTATTTTAAAGCATAACTGCCATGCTTTCTCATACAACAATAAACTATTATACTGTATACAGTAGATTAGGACTTTCAGTGTTATCAAAATAATACTGCTTGTATACCCAAACTTAGAAATGTTAAGAGCTGATTGCAATATGCAGTAGCACAATTGCACTCTGTAACACAGCATCCAAAATGAAGATTTAGTAATGTCCTAATAGTTAATCCAGAATATTCAGCACTACAGTAAAATTTGGGAAGTTAAATGAGTTGTAAATATGTGTGAAGGAGCTATTTTCAAAGCCTGTTTCTACAAGCAATCAGTATCTTCCCAGATCTGTGTGTCTGTAGCCAAATCCACATAGAAAACTATCATTCAAGATAATTTACAAGGGAAACTTGTTCGCTAAAAAGTAAGCTTCCTGAGATTGGCTTTACCATCAGTTATATCTCTACAGAATTGCAATTTAAGACTATAATCCTTCGGAATATCCTAAAGTAGGGATGTCAAATTTAAGGCCCAGGGGCTGGATCCGGCCCATGGGGTACTTAGATCTGGTCTGCGAGGCTGCCCTGGAAACAACAAAGGACTAGCCTACTCTCCTGAGCTCTGTTTTCACTGGCAAAGGGTTGCAGGAAGCCGTGGCAACTGAAAATGGAGCTATGGAGCCCGTTTTCTCCAGCAGAGAGTTCGGGCTACCACAGGTAACTCCAACAGCCCGAGGTCTCCACCCCAGCCCGAGGTCGAACACAACCCTGATGTGGCCCTCAATGAAATTGAGTTTGACACTCCTGTCCTAGAGGCTATAGAATTAATCAAACTATCATTTTTAGGATATAATGATTTGAATTTGATATGTCTTCCAAGTCAGTGTAGAAACTTTTAGCAGCTTTTCTTCTAAGAACTCCACCATAGAAAGTGGAGAAAGCAGACTAGGCAAGGGGCGCACTGGAAGGGTTCGAGAATCAACACAACGGATTCCCTTTCAATTATTTCAGAATGATAAAACATGTAAAATAAAAAGAAGTAACTCCAGGGAAGAAAAAAAAGCGTGCACAAAATAAGGAAGTCCTTTATCATTTTATAGATTCCTAAATTCCTTAAAAATGAACATTCTTACAAATATGTTGCCTGATTAAGTGGAAAGTCATATTCCATCAAAAGTTTTGTTTAAATTAACCAAAGCACTCAGCAATGTGTTGTAGCCCTAACCAGGATTCTAGGTTGATTCTATAAAATTTTGTTTGAAATATAATCATACTTTGAGGAAATCTGAATTTTATGTTTGCTTTGACACAAGAAGTTGGTGGATTTAAATATCATTGCATTGTGTTCTTTTTTTTTCATTTTACTGAGATTTTTATCAACAGGAAAGAGACAGAAATGAGAATAAATAAGCAACAGTATGGAAAATATATATTTATCACACAAGAGCAATCCAGCTATTCAAGAAAGCTTTGTTTGGATTAGATTTTTTAAAACTTATTTTACAATAATGCTAAGGACATGTTACTTGTCTGGCAGGAAATCTATATTAGAATCGGTAAAACCGATTCGGTTCTCTCACCTTGCCCAAATAGGTGAGTTGTACTGCCAGATAAAGTGAGCATCTGAAAATGTTTGTTTCCTATAAATCTTAATATACATATGTTTGTCTATTTGTGCTTTCTAGTCAGTGTTGATTTCTGGTGACCATCTGGACAAGTCCCGGCAGTTTTCTTGGCAAGGTTTTTCAGAAGTGATTTGTCCTTGCCTCCTTTCTAGGGCTGAGGGAAAGTGACTGACCCAAGGTCACTCACCCAGTTTTGTGACCAAGATGGGACTAGAACTCATAATATTCTGGTTTCTAGCCTGATGCCTTAACCACTATACCAAACTGACTCTAGAATACAGCCCACTGCTATATATATGAATCTTTGGAATTACAGCTATAAAACATGCAAGGAAACCCTGAATGGAATTATAATTTTATCTGTTAACCTGCTCAAGAGACCCAGAGGAGGAAGAAATAATGATAGATGTATACTTAAAAGAAAACTCCAGCAGTTTCAGAATTAGTGTTGAGCCATAACTATGTCAACAATAGGTCAACATAAACAAAAAAAAACTTAAATAAACAAACAACCCAAACTTGTTTAATTTTAAAACTGAAAGCAAAAAAAAAAAGAAAGAAACCACATGGAGGGTATAAACATAAGGAACATGATTTTTCACAAGTAAGAAAACAAAATGGTTCTGTGCAACAAAATGGTGCTCTGTTCTTGCTCAGAAATGAAAAACATAGGATATTTTTTCTCAATGTTCTTCTTTCTCTCCCTTTTGTAACAGATGCCAGACTAGAGTCCTCACAGCTTTCCTTTCCTGCTAATCACTGTCATCCTCAAAATCGATCTCCTCATCGGTATCATCATCCTCATCATCCTCATCAGATAAGTCGAATTCATGGAACCCCAGCGCCAAGTTGACTTTCTTCCCTTTTCTCATAGAGGTGGTTTTGGAAGAATTCTTTTTGGCTTTCATATTGATCTGCATTCCAGAATGCAGGGTGGATCCTGCTTCATTCATAGAGAAGACATCCCCAAAACCTTGCATCATCAAGGCCTTCAGACTCTGGTTCATGCCAGCTACCTCCCCATTACTCGTGGTGGTAATCTGACATGACATCTCTGCACTGTTTGATTCCTCTGTTTTAGATTCAAAGTAAGATGCCTCAGACATTCTGGCAGCAAAAGGGAAGCAAAACTAATGAAAAAGGAAAGGAAGGACAGAAGGGGAGGGGAAAGGAAAATTAGAAACCAATTAAAATCCCAGCAAAAGACACCACCAGATTAGTTAGCAGTAAACAGAAAGTAAAATGATTAGTGAATTTTAATACAAAATGCCAAGTCAGCATTTATTTTTTTAAGGACTTGGTTATTGTAACTCCATAAAAATATCAGAAACCTAAGCCATATATAAGGCATCATAAGATATAAATTTTGTGCATCATTAGAAGAGTGGGGGTTTTGTTCTTTTTGGTAGTACAATCTAGTCTGAGAATAATTTTAACAAAATAAAAGGGAAAACAATCAAAACATATTTTGTTTTCAAAATTAATGTGTGTGTGTGTGATTAAATATTTCAGAGTCTCACACGGGGAAGAAATATTCCCGACTGATAAAAAGTTTGCCTCTGCAAAACTTTATATGGCTTATGTCTGCTTTATGTGCCCATTTTTATTGGAATCAAAAGTTACCAATGGTTGACAATCAAATTAATTCTGGAGAAATAAATAAAATTCTGACTCCTCAGAATCAAGAAACAATCCATACCTTTTTTACTGGAAAATAACAATTAATATATACAAGATTTCAGCTATGATGTTTTATGATAGCTCCTTAATACAAAAATAAATTCCCATTATTTCCTATAGGATACCATTCATGCCATAAGCTATGATGGACACAAGAGTCTCCATCTCCTGGACAGTGGCTGCCAAGGATATGTAGAAGAGGCTTATTGCCACACTAATATTTTTTTAAAATAAAGCAGTCTGTACGTTACAGCTGTGTGACATAAATCCGTCCCCAGATGCAAAAATTCCAGAAGACAAGATAAATACTTATACTGAGAGAATCCTAAGGAACTCACAAAAGCTTCATACTCTCAAAGGGGATGGCATTCAATTAACCCTTTTTGCTGATGGACCCCTTCTGTCAGGGAATGGTTTTATATTCCTAAACTCTCTGCTACCTTCTTATGCTTGCTTGTTCAAGAGTTTTGGGGATCTGCCTGGAGATAAGGGAGGGGGGAGACTTCCCATCTATGCAAACAGAAGTCTACAGTATATGCATTCTACTGTATGGCTATGCATAAAGGAAAACGGGCAAGTTGTGATCTAACCAAGCAGAGGCATTTGTGAGGCTAAAAAATGTATTATGTCATATTTTATTTCTTTCCACTTCATTGGCAATTGCTGGACATTTCTTTTGTCTATACAAACTATTAGCTACTGCCTGAATGAGACTTTTGGCTGTCCCCTTGACAACCTAGTTCCTGGGAAAAAAGTGAAAGATTCTGCATTAATGCACAGATACTGCACCCACCAGCTGTGTTTTTGCAACAACTAATAGGACAGATATTACATGGCCATTCTGATAGAGCTTTCTGGCTTTTTAAGGTTCCTGATAATGTATTTGATGTGAAGCTTAAAATTGCAGCCATTCCCAGTGATTGGGTTAAGCTGTTTTTTTCTTCATATAATTTATTTCTTCTCAGCCTAATCATACAAAGAAATGCATGTTCAAACTCAGGCCAGAACAATGCTTAAATATACTTTGTAGTTTTGAAGGCTAGCATGACAGAGCTGTAAGAAGCTGAGGTAGAATCACAGGATGCAAAACTCAAAACGCCAGCCGTAGTGGTCTTGAGTTAATCACTCTGGCTCAGTATTATGTATTAATTTGTTGCAAAAAACAATTGGTGAAGTGGAGAATCAATGTTCCAATCCATGTGGAGTAAGGAAAAGATTAAGTGAGCTATACAAACAGGACATACCTCTGAATTAATAAAAGGCCTCTACTGGAAGAATACTTTGAATGTTTGGCCTTGCCATTTGTCACACAGAACTTCTTTTAGATGAATAAAATAATAATAATCTGCTTTAGCTTTAGCTCAATGCCTGATTCTTTTACAGCAGGGGTGGGGAGTTGTGGCCCCTTTATGACTTGTGGACTTCAACTCCCAGAATTCAGCATTTTCCACACCTCGGCTTTACAGACACATCCATTTACTAAGGAAATATAAAAATGCTTGCCACTGCCTTTTCTTGGGATATTTTTTCAACCATCCCCATCTAGCCTATGAAAGTATATAAACTATTTTAAAATATAGAAGGATTTTTTTTAGAAAAGTCCAAAATGAGACAAAGTTCATATGTTGGGTCTTTTGTCTAGAGCAGTGGTCACCAACCCTCAGACGGGACAGGCCATAGGCATGCCAGAAACAGGGCCACGCAAACAAGTGAAGCCCCATCCATGGGATGCAAGCAACACTTGAAAGCATGGCCCCCACTGGTCCACAGAAAAACCTCTCTGCATAGAACCAGTCCCTGGTGCCCAAACGGTTGGGGGACACTGATCTATAGACTCCAAAAGCAGCCAAGACCACCTCGAAAACCTACTATAGATGTTGCCCTTCTGATTCTCCTGCAACCACATACTGAAAGTTTGACACAGGCTTTGCTGTGGTTCCCAAAAGAGATGAGATCAAGAAGCAAAGCTCAATGGAGGGCAAACTATGGTTTGTTTATACCGTATGGAAAACGGACAGCTTAGTATATGATGGAGCTTTGAGACACTTGGAAAGCTAAGCACACTAAACCCAAAATAATCCCACTGTACTGATTTTTAGTATAAAAGTTGAATGAATGAAGATTAGAATCCTAATCCTAGTTGATTTTTACAAAGAGCAGCAGAAAAATTGCCTTACGCTGCAGCAGATGTGGCTTGAGCCCTGCAACTGGCCATTTGTTTGAAGCACCTTCTTATTCCATTCAAGTTTATTATCACTTGTCTTTACAGCTCCAAATTGCATATTTTTTGGGGGGGGGGGAATCTGTGTGTATTTGCATCAGTGCATTAAAAAAAATTACCCCAAATAAATAATAAGGCTGCTTCATACTGATGGCTTGCTACACTGAACACTCTTGAGTTACATTACAAGTAGCCAGTATTTGGATGTGTAAATCAGGACTGAGAGGGATGAGTTTCCATAATATATCCACAAAACTGCTCAATTTGTCCTCCTTTCAATTCCATGTCAATGTCACCACAATGTTTGACAATGACAGAGCAGGTGCTGAGCAGCTGCTGCTTAGTCCCTAAACTTGAAAACTCTCTGCTTAGCATGTGTCTCCATCTGCTTCCAATTCCTGACATAAGTTCTATACGCTAATTCTTGCATATTAATTAAGCTTTTCTTTTTTAAAAATAAATAAAAATGAGAATTTCTTCCCCAAACTGACAATGAGCTGAGCTTCTCGGCTTAAAAAAATTGAATCACTTTTGCAGTAAAGGATGTCCCTGTGGAAGGACTGTAAATAGTTCCTGTTCTTACTGGAACAGTGAAGAAAAAAACCTCACAAAGCTTGCCTTTTTACTTGTCTGCATTTTTACTGTCTCATGTTAAATCCGAACTATTAGAAACAGCAGCCTTGACATGAACAAAGAATTTTACTTTAAAAAGAAAAAGAAAAAACAACAACAGGCAAATGGCTTAATCTTGCCTTTAAGCTACTCCCTACTTTTCTCCAAAAATTCTTGCAGCGACAGGGCCAAGCGTAGTTATTCAGCAATAAAGGAACTGTACTTCAGTATTTATTCACCTATGCCCCATCTGAAGTGAATTTTCAAAAGCAGTAATCCCAGATTAAAATTCTGCCTTGGAGGCAAAAAAAAATTATTATTTTTTTGATGCAACAGGATTACATTTCAGTTATGTAAACCCTTAGCTGCCTCAAGACTATTGAGGGCAGAGAAGAGAACTTCCTTGCCCTGCCTGTGGCAAGTTGTTATTTGTATGTCAAGGCAATCCTTCACTCTGCTGAGCTTGGAGCTTGTCTTGAGCTGAAAATAGCAGCTTCTGAAAGGGCATCTCTTGTCAGGAGCTAGCAAGGGGGAATGAAGAGTCAAGCAGCTATCTACATAACAAAATGGGCACATTAACTAGACTGAAGGAGCTAGCCTCTTGCCTGTTTTGACCTTGATTGTAGCATAACTCTCTGCTATAAAGCTGGACCATGCTTCAAAATAACTGCAATATCACAAGCCATACTATCACCATGTCTTTTGGTTAATTTCTCTAGCAATGGGGTTTAGTTTAGATAAAATTCCTGAGGGAAAAATCATTTCAAACCAATGACGTGAAGCAAGCCCAAACAATAGGGCTGTACTGTGGTTTTTATTTTTATAAAACACCCCATTCTTGTTTTTCAACTGAAGAACAGAGTTCGATTTTTTTTGTTATCCATCTTGGACCATAGATGGTTTTTCTCTGACTTGTACAACTCACTGCACAAATCTGTAGCTTTCAATCTTTATCCAAGCTCTGTTTCTTAATCAAGGGACAGCAAGATCTCTTTGACAGGATGTTAAAACTGGGTGCTAATCTAAGGTGATTCAGTGTACCTAATCCTACTGCTGGCCTTTTATTAGTCATGCCACTTTACATGTGAGAAGTATATTTTTAAAAGCTGCAAAGATGAGCTTCCAGTCATGTAACCCTTTGCCTGCAATCTAGGAAGGTACTGTCTTTATGAGAGCTATTGCCTCAGTGTGTAACTATGTGGCCAATATCCCATTTTTGCTCCTTCAAACCTTCTGAAGAGGCCAAAGGCTCTGATTTACAAATGCTAATGACTCCCACAGGTCAACTCTTTTTTTTTTTTGAACAACAGAAGCATTTTAAAGACGGGCCAGCAATATAATATCCTTTTCAAATGTCCTTTATGGAACCAAATCATGAGCCTTTATTCACTGCGATTTGAATACTCCGGAAAAAGAAGAAAAATATGCATATCAGTTCAGCTCTTTCTTCCTCTTTCATCCAGATATGTATTTGCTCCTGCTTCCATCCTCTCAAATACAGGCCACTGCTTGACAAGACTCACAAAACATCTGCAATTTGTTTTTATATGTAGATGAATTCTGAAGTTAATTTCTTAAGAAGCAAAGGAAAGGGGGAGGGAAAGGTGGTTTGGAAGCGGCAAGGCTTTTCATTATTCAAAAATCTGACAGAAGCCCTTTCAGCTATAGGTCCCGGCGCTTGAAAGTACTTCACTTTCAATTTCATTTTAGCCTTCCCTTTTCATTTGCTTGCCGTGGAAGGGTTGTATTAATATCCTATAGAAAAGAAGTTTACGGTGAGCACAATAGACTTGAGCACAACACTTTCCCTCTGCAAAGCCAGCCAGTAAAAAGTCGCAGCAAAAAAGCAATAGTGCAGGATAAAAATCCCTTAGCCTCACTCAGGGAAAAGATCAGCTCATTACGGCTATGTTTCATGCTGTGAACCACATAGGTGATGGCCTATATCTTAGCTACTCAATCTTTGCAGACATTAAAGGAAGCCTACGAGCTATCTAGAAAGAACACCTTGCTTCTAGGAAACACTCATGCTTCACCATTATAGCCTACTCCATGTTCACAGCTGGAATACACATGCAGTGTCATTCATACGGATGCCATTAAGCTGTGCCTCAGAAAGAAGGTGCAGGAAGAGTGAACAGGCCAAAATCCCAGCTTAGATTAAATGGTAAGTATAGTGCACTCTGCAGAGTGAAGCACAGAAGGACAACACTCTGCAACATCTGCAGGTTTGATAAATATTGCAAATGAATGCTGGATCAAGAGGCAGTGGTGGATGAAGACTATTAGCTCATCAGTTTGGGCAGAAGTAAAATGCAACATACAGTAATTAAATAATGCAAATAGAAGCTTGGCTGTTTGCTACCAACAGATGTCATAAGATGTTAAAGTAATCGTGTTCTGCTTGAAAGCTACTTTTATATATATATATCTGTTTTTATGCAGCCATTACTTGGGCATATATATCATTTCACTGCATATGAAATTAAGCAATGATGACTCCTTTAGGAAGCAAGATTCAGATTTAGATAGAAAATGTTACTCATGTTTTTCCCTTTATACAGGAAAACAGTCATTTAGACATGAATGCAAATGGTTCCCAGTGCAATTTCTATGTCTCTCCCACCTGATTCTATCTAAAATCACTATTTTTATGGAATGCATTATATTAATGGGAAGAAAAATCTGAACCTCCTTCCTGTGCTGCACTAATTTATACAGACATGCTCTAATCTCAATATATCTTACAGCAACAAGACTTGTCATTTACATAACAGAATCCAATGCCTGAAACATATCAATTTGCTTCTGAAAATGCGCAATCCATAAAGCAGCCTGAAGGCACATTTTGTTAAAGCAAAGCAGATCACAGTCTGTTCAGTTTCTTACGTGGAGATCCCAGATTCTCCCCCAATCAGATGCTCTGTACTTCTCAAAGGAAAAGTGGGACATGAGTAGAATAACTATTTTTAAAAAAAAACATCCCAACTGACCCAAGTTCTAAATATTATGAGTTTCACAATACAGTGATTCAGAATGAAGCTACAGGGTTAAGAGATCTGATATGCCTTCATAACAGAGGTATCAATGTAGATGAAATGGATGAGATCATGCTATTTCTTTCTATGGGATTGCAGGGGATTTTTCTGCCTTTTAACTTTGGCAAGAGTTCAAATTGTATTTTGATATTTTGGGACATTAAATTGGATCTAAGACCTGGTACCTCTTTGATTAAGCCATTTGAATTTTGTAGATTTCATCTGTGATTCATTTAAGTCTTTCCAGTTGGTTAGCCAAGAGATAAACAATTATGCTAAAATGATATCAATATGTGTAGCAATCCAGATTCAAAAGGGAAAATATCTTTGGAGTTATGTGGGCATTCATGTTGCCCTTTCCTGTGAATAGTTTCCTTTGTGAATAGTTCCACATAATTTTAAATATGGATCTCTGTGTAGCCCTAATATATATTATATATATATGGCTAGCTGTAAGACAAGACCCAGAGAATAATGGCATTTACTGTAGATTGCAATCCAACAACATTTTATTTGAGAATAAGCTCCAGATTATTGCATTTAAATTTATCACATGCCAGATTAATTTAGATGGATGATACCTTATCTTCAAAACAAATTTAAGAATAGTTTAATTGGACTTTAATAAAGTCTTATAATAAAGCAGCTAAAGTTGCTTTATTTCTTGAAGTCTTCACCTAATCAGTTTCAAAAAACATGTCTAACAAAACATGGCCACTTGCAGTTCAAAGCAGGTAAATATGAGAGTTCTGCCATAGGAGTGCAAGTGTAGCTTAAGACATTTCTTAGATTCAAGTTTTTGTTGGATTTTCAGATTCCATTTTTAAACAAAAACTATAATAGTACTTACTGGTGTGTTGGATTGTTCAGTTAGCTTCTGCTCCCACATTCTCAAGCGTTTTTCCCTTTCCTTTAGTTCCTGTTCCTTAAAGCTCAGATCACGTTCCAATCTCTTCAGCCTCTCTAAGGTGGCCTCGATTTCACATCTAAATAGAGAGAAATTTGTTAAATTGTGCCTTCCCTTGGCAGGAACTAATAGTTCACAGATATTTTCCATATGAATGTTAATAAAATGTGTAAGAGTGAAAAGTATAGTGCTGTTTCAAGTAGGACATTTAATCAGCAGAGTAGAGATTTGTTTGAACCCTAAACCAAAAGAAGAGGCCCTCTTTTAGAAACCTGATGCAAGTTGAGGCTTGGAAGGCTTCATGTTTGCTTCCTGAACCCTTTACTACCTCAATCATCCAGCTCGGACACCTTTTCAAGCCCCCTTTTCCACTCACTATCAACCAGCCTTCGACTCAACAAAGAAGGGGAAAGGGAAAGGGTCAAATATAAATGTTTCTGAAAGTAAACCAAGAGGCTTCTTCAAACATTCAAGTCCTTGAATTTGTCATTGGTTCTCTTCATATTTTAGTATGAAACAATGAGATTGAGTCAACATACAAGTACAATTAAGTGTGCAATTTGAAAATAATATCTGGAAATGCCCCAGTATGATTAGGACATCTTCATCGGGTCATAAAGTGTCACAGACCATGTCCTTAGAAAGACTTTTTGTTGGAAAAGGAGGGGAAATTCTACTTTAAAACTGAAACAGAAAAATATGATTTAAGATACTTTCCTACAGGCTTGGACCAAGGCTGTTTCTTTATTATGCAATTTATTTACAAATTTTTATACCTCATGTAGACATGCCCTTTAAAAATAATTAATGAGGCATCTCTGGGTTTGTCAGCAGGATGTGAAGGTGAGCTGAAAGTGAATTCTAGTCTTTTCTACTGCTTTGAAATACACAGGTGAAACTCGAAAAATTAGAATATCGTGCAAAAATTCATTTATTTCAATAATGCAACTTAAAAGGTGAAACTAATATATGAGATAGACTCATTACATGCAAAGCAAGCTAGTTCAAGCTGTGATTTGTCGTAATTGTGATGATTATGGCTTACAGCTCATGAAAACCCCAAATCCACAATCTCAGAAAATTAGAATATTACATGCAATCAATAAAACAAGGATTGTATATAGAACAATATCAGACCTCTGAAAAGTATAAGCATGCATGTGTACTCAGTACTTGGTTTGGGCCCCTTTATCAGGAATTACTGCCTCAGTGTGACGTGGCGTGGAAGCTATCAGCCTGTGGCACTGCTGAGGTGTTATGGAAGAACAGGATGCTTCAGTAGCAGCCTTCAGCTTTCTGCATTGTTCGGTCTCATGTCTCTCATCTTTCTCTTGGCAATGCCCCATAGATTCTCTATGGGGTTCAGGTCAGGCAAGTTTGCTGGCCAATCAAGCACAGTAATCCCACGGTCACTGAACCAGGTTTTGGTGCTTTTGGCAGTGTGGGCAGGTGCCAAGTCCTGCTGGAAAATGAAGTCAGCATCCCCATAAAGTTTGTCTGCGGAAGGAAGCATGAAGTGCTCCAAATCTCCTGGTAGAGGGCTGTGTTGACCCTGGACTTAATGAAGCACAGTGGACCAACACCAGCAGATGACATGGCTCCCCAAATCAACACAGACTGTGGAAACTTCACACTGGACTTCAAGCATCTTGTAGTGTGTGCCTCTTCATTCTTCCTCCAGACTCTGGGTCCTTGGTTTCCAAATGAGATGCAAAAGTTGCTCTCATCAGAAAAGAGGACTTTGGACCACTGAGCAACAGACCAGTTCTGTTTTTCTTTAGTCCAGGTAAGATGCTCCTGACGTTGTTTGTTGTTCAGGAGCGGCTTGACAAGAGGAATACGATATTTGAAGCCCATGTCCAAGATCCGTCTGTGTGTGGTGGCTCTTGATGCACTGACCCCAGCCTCAGTCCACTCCTTGGGAAAATCCCCAACACTTTTGAATGGCTTTTCCTGACAATCCTTTCCAGGCTGCGGTCATCCCTGCTGCTTGTGCACTTTTTTCTTCCACACTTTTCCCTTCCACATAACTTTCTATTAATGTGCTTTGATACAGCACTTTGGGAACATCCAACTTCTTTTGCAATTACCTTTTGAGGCTTTCCCTCCTTATGGAGGGTGTCAGTGATGGTTTTCTGCACAACTGTCAGGTCAGCAGTCTTTCCCATGATTGTGACTCCTACCGAACCTGACTGAGAGACCATTTAAAGGCTCAGGAACCCTTTGCAGGTGTTATGGCTTCATTAGCTGATTAGAGTGGGACACTTTGAGCCTAGAATATTGAATCTTTTCACAATATTCTAATTTTCTGAGATTGTGGATTTGTGGTTTTCATGAGCTGTAAGCCATAACCATCACAATTATGCCAAATCACAGCTTGAACTATCTTGCTTTGCATGTAATGAGTCTATCTCATATATTAGTTTCACCTTTTAAGTTGCATTAGTGAAATCAATGAACTTTTGTACGATATTCTAATTTTTCAAGTTTCACCTGTACTTTCCAATGATTCCCACTCACACAACATTTTATGCCTCTACATAAAATCAACAGCATATCTGAGGAAAATGTTTCATCCCTGGCTCTTTTCCTATTGGGCTACTTTTTTCTTTTTTTCATTAGGAGAAGGACTCTCGCACTCTTGAAGTCTGAAGTGTGATGAACCATTTTCCAAGCTTGGGAATATATCCATCTCAGTCCCACTGTATTTTGCGGCAAGAGTGGCAAAGCTTTTACAGGCCTATGATGTATAAGCTGACTTAAATTACTTTAGGTAGCAGATCATAGAACATAGAATAATACAGTTGGAAGGGATCTTGGAAGTCTGCTAGTCAAGCCTGGATTAATAATTCATAGATCTATTAATAGTATTAATTTATTAATAATATCTATTAATAGCTCTATTAAACCTAGTCACTTAGTAAGACAGCATCCTTAAAATTATACAGGGTTTCATTGGTATATTAAACCTAGTTTAATAGATCAGCTATTACCGGTTCAATTTTAAAGAAACAGCATTCCTACTGTATTTGAAATAATAGTAATTAACACTTTAATTATCCATAACATGTCCACAAATCGAAGAAAAGTGTACGCGTGATGATCAAGGTAACTTTGAAGTTGAACTGTGGAAGGAGATTTACAGCATAGTTGTACATAGGTATATACAGAAGTCAGCCCCAAACATACTGATTCATCATCAGTACAAGTAAACCTGACTGATCACAGTGATTATTTTTTAAGGTTGCTCAGAGCTGTTTTTGATTGGGTGACCTTAAAACTAAATACATAAATAAATGTAGACTTGCACTTAAAAATTGTTTTATTAAGAGGAATAAACTTGAAGGTACAAAAAAAATTCTATTTGGGGAATCATTGATTTCCTCTAAAATATGAAGGCTGGATTGCAAGCTTCATATTATATTATTTCTATTATTCAGATTTACTGTTTGGTAGCTAAACCCTTTTGCTAGGTTTTCCTTAAATTAACCAAAATGGTTTCCATTCCTGATTTGAAGCAGGGTTTTCCTCTCACTTAAAACTCTTCAGGGTTCAAGGCACCAGGATTTTTTTTGCTGTGCTTGCTATTGTCTGATTAGGCAAGAAAGCACTTAGTAGAGAAAGGTTAGATTCTCAAAAATGCTGCATTCTTTTAAAAATATATAATAAAAGTGTAATTAAACAGAATGCTTCTATACATTGCTCAATTAATATATCTAATTGTACAAATATATTAATTTACATTGAGCACTGGTGATCATGTATGTTCCATTTATTTTAGTACTCCTACAAATTAACATTGCCTGCTGTCTTAGTGTTACATGAGATAAAAATTTAAATGAAGTGCAATAATAGCTTCATTAATAATTTCAGAGAAATTATTTTAAATTGAATTAGCATATTCAAAATAGATAGTAACTAATTGTGCCCTTCTGCAAACAGAAGGAGCCAGCTGGTTTAAAACAGCAGCATGCAACCCTGGCAACTTTAAAACCTGTGGACTTCAACTCCCAGAATTCCTCAGCCAGTCATGCTGAGATGAGTGGAGGGAATTTCACCAATTATCCCTGTGCTACATTTTATGAAGGCTTCCCACAATTACTGGAGCCATTTTGGTAAAATTGTCAACCAAAAAATAAACTAGGAGAAAATCTTAGTTTCCTAAATATACTAAATGTATTGTATCTGTGGTCAATACTGTTTTTAACAATGTCCATTAAAGTAACTTTGGCCTTGGTTTTTAATGTGTTATTTCCAAGATTAGGAAGCTCATGATAATGTACTAGTTTTTGATAGCTGAATTATTTTATGAAACAGGATAGGCAGTCCAAACATAAGTAATAGAACATGGCAGCATTCCTGTTTTGTACAAGTTTTATTTTATGTCTCCTCCTCTATCTTATTTTCACCTAAGTTTCTAAATACAATAAGACTTAATTCTCTCTAGAACAGAGATGCACAATTTGAGACCCTGGGGTACATATATCCTCCAGAAATATTTGGGTGTGACTTCTAGAGACCTCAAAAATTGTTACCAAGACTATACTTTTAAAAATATAATTATATACTTGCATTGACAGCTTTATATTGTATTGCTCCCTCATAAATCTAAACAATCACCCTTTTTTAAAAACAAAAGGCAGCCCTAGCTACTTTAAGTTCTTAATAACATTAGCAACCATTTCCCACTTTAAGGTAAAAGTAAAGGTTCCCCTCTCACATACGTGCTAGTCGTTTCCAGTTCTAGGGGGTGGTGCTCATCTCTGTTACAAAGCTGAAGAGCCAGTCCTGTCCAAAGACATCTCTGTGGTCATGTGGCCGGCATGACCAAACGCCAACGGCACAGAACTCTTGCTACCTTCCCACCAAGGTGGTCCCTATTTTTCTACTTGAATTTTTACATGCTTTCAAACTGCTAGGTTGGCAGAAGCTGGGACAAGTAACGGAAGCTCACTCTGTTACGCAGTGCTAGGGATTCGAACCGCCAAACTGCCGACCTTTCTGATTGACAAGCTCAGCATCTTACTGTGTCCCTTTACCGTTTCTCAGTTTAGCCACCTGTAAAAAGCCATACAGGTTGCCTGGCTTCAATTGGAAAACCTAAACATATCTGGAAATTCTTAATCCTAAATACACTTTGTAGAAAATAAGTGGGACTTGCTCTCCAGTACACATATTTAATATCCTATGGGAAGGATTTGTCACGAAGAATTATAAGAAGCTTGAAGCTTTAACTCTGGTGCAATTTGCAGTTTGCATCAGTAGATGGCACAATACATCCTGGTCTGTGTTAGTGTGGATTATTGCCACACTGCTGAGTCAGTGCAAGAAGAATGTCAGTTCTAAAACAAGCTATTTATACTTGCATCATGTGACTTGGCTCAAACCTCCCATCTGTGCTCACATTTTCCATCCCTGCAGTAAAATTCTCTTGCTTATCAGTTCACCACCATTTCTCCCCTTAAATTTTAGGATGTCTTGTATTGGCAAATCCTTATTCATCCTGGGATTTTAAATATTGTTTGCATGCTCAGATCTCTCTAATCTTTCTTGCATGGCTATCTTTGCCAGTCTCCAAAGGAGGCAGGCATATAACCATCAAGTAGACTACTAAATTGTGCTCTGCATTACCTGGAGAATGGCCAAGGTTCCTTAATTTAGACTACAGCAAGATTCGTTGTATTATCCTCTTCTTGTACAGATCCCTTCTCATCTGCCTTCACAGCAATCTAAGCAGAGCTGTTTTAAATGTATCAATATATTCTACTTTTATATTTATGCATACATCTGATTGGAATGGTTTAAAGATTGGACATATAACTATTTCTCTGGAATAAGTCCAGCTGAATACCACAGGATTTATGTCTGAAAAAAAAAACATGCTCAAGTCTGCCCAGTAAAGAAAGACTTTTAGCACAGAAGGTACCACAAATGAAGGATATTAATAGTGGATGGAAGACTCACCTAGATCAATGGAAACAACAAAGTCAAGACTAATTTAAGTACAAATGATTAAAATTGGATCCCACCCAATCTCTTTCAATTTAGTAATTACTTGAGCACATAATCTTATAGCTGTGTAACCTGGGAAAGAACAAGAGCAAGAGATACCAAAAACAGATAGCCAGGATACATGCCGCTTCATAAATCCAGACTAGACAATTCTCTGGAGAATTTTTCAAGGATCAGTGAAAAACAGAAGAGAGCCTTGCAATAACATATGTATGAAAATGACCAAATAATGACTGCAAATTTTTGAGATGGCAAATATTACGTCTGCTTACTCCATACTGATTATCCTGCTTTTCTGGCTCTGGGTGGCTAAATAAATTATTTAGTCACAAGACAAGAACATTTTCTATTTTGCAACTAAGTTCTGGTCCCTTGATTCATAGCTGCTTGTTATTCCTTACTTTCATTCTTAGCACTTACAAATTTAATTTGGAGGGCTGATTTGGCCATTTTGCTTTACATCTGATTTAAACTCATTGCTTTCTAAATATACCAGATACAATTTGCAAACTTGTTTCTGATCATCATTATGCAGAAAAAGCACCAACATGGAACAAATAGTGGGAAACACAAATTTCCACACCTGGCAGTGAAACAATGATGGCTGTCAGTGGGGGTTGCACAATTTTGAAAATTCAAACACTGGATGTCTAATTTTGGCAGTGTATTTTTCTGGGAAAATACTTCATTTCTCCCCACAGGAAATGTCATTATTGGTGGGAATTAGGGAGGACTCACCGCCATTCTGCCTTGTTATGCAGGAATGAATTGCATTGGTCTGGAAGGTTGCTATCATTTGACATGGAGTCCAAAATCGAAATGATTTGCTTGAAAGAGGGTCTCTTCTGAAGACACACAAAGCAATACGTACATTATTACACGCATACATTATGTAAACCTACATTTTAATACTACACCATTTGCAGAATTAATAACATTTTCCAATGAAAGTGGCAAGTCTAAAACTGCAATGGAACTCATACTGGGATGCTGACTAGATAATTATTAGGTAAACAACACAGAGCTGTAAATTATTATAGCTATAAATGCAGAACTTGCTGCTTTTAAATTTCAATACAAAAATATCCTAAAATTGTAATATAACAAGACGCTGACCTGAATGGACCAGATTACTCATGTAAAATAATACAATAAAAGAGTTACAGTATCCTTAATCTACTTCCATTGTCTCCTCTAGGATCTCCTGCACTTTGCATAATTGCATGGTAGGAAATTGTACTCTGTTCTCATTTATGACACCCTTTTCCCTATTCCCCATATCAACCAGTGTGATCTTTCCCTGTCCAGGAATTCCATTGTATGGGTGTGGAGCATCTTCTTGGACAAAGACTACTTGACTACTGTCTGTTCTATTATCACTATTCCACAAGAGCTATAAATTGGATCTGTAGCCCTCAATGAAAATTAGACAACCCTGTTATGGGAAACAAGGCTCCTGAATCAAGGTTGACCAGAGAAGCCCATAATTTAAAAAGAAACATTTAGTTTTATGAGCTGTATTTCCTATCCCATAACAGTGATTATGTACATATTTTTATTAACTTGCCTCCCTGGCATTCACAGATTGGTATTTATGTCCATTCCAAGAATCGGTATTGGCTTCGTGCTCAGTTCCAAATGCTAGTAGTTCTAATCTATCTATAGGTAGTTGACTTTAGGAGTTGCTTTCCCCAATGGTCTTTGTGCTGACTTTGCAGCTGTTGCTATCTGAGGATATTTATAAGGAAGCCTGAATGACTTGACCAATCCTTGACACTGCTAGTTTCCATATTGTTAATTGCAAAGGTCCCCCTTTTATTGGAGGCCCACATAATGTAGTTATTACTTGGTTATCATTCCATGTTTTTCCAGTGATTATCCTTCTAATAAAATAAAGTTGAGTTGAGTAGAGTAGAACAGAACGGATGAGAACTTAGCATTCCTTTAAACATACACTAATCAACATACATTAAAATGAAATTTTGTTGCATTCAGCTCTCAAAAGATAACCATTATGCCTATACCCACATAGCCACATATATGACACAGAGAAACATCACAGTCTACTTTGGATGTATACGTGTACATGGCAAGAAAAATGAATCTTGTGAATTTACCAGACAGATGGCATAAGTAACGAAGCGTTACAAAATCCAGTACTCCTGCTAGAAATACTTCGAAACCTCCTCCCAGAGGGGAGCAACAGAAACAGACCATGAAGTGGGTGTGTGGGGTCTCTAACAATGCTTTGAGTTCTAAGCACATAGCGTTTATAAGCAGTATTCTGGATAACAGGAAGTGGGCTTCCTACGTATCATCTTCTCAGCTGTCCTTACCACTCTCTGTATCCTGCTCTTTTTCTTGACCCAGGAAATCTATTAAGCAAAAAAATGCCAGCACAATCTTTCTGAAGCTATGTTTCTCAACCTGGGCAAAATGAATGGACTTCAACTCCCAGAATTCTCCAGGCACCATGCTGGACTGGGAAATTCTGGGGCTTGAATTCCACCCATCTAGGCACCAAGATTGAGAAACACTGCTCTGGAGTATGACCAGAAAACCACAGAATGCATCATAGGATGTCCTATAGCAGGGCTTTCCAAACTTTTCCCTTCGTTACCCAAAATTGCTTATCAGAAAGTCTTTTTCACCCAGTCTAAGACAAAACACTTTATGTCAATTTAAATGTTCCTATTATGATTGGGTATTGATACCGAAAGAAAGAACACTTTTACCAAATTTGAGGCAATTTACTCAGGTTTGAGAAGGACTGCCTTAGGGAATGAAAATGGAAGGTTGAAGGTGATGATAATTTCTGTGTGGCTAGCACATTTTTCATTCTTACCCTTTGATTTTAACCTTAGTACCTTAATCTTTTGAATACACATTCAATAGATAAGATCTCCTCCTGAATCACTGAAATGATATTACAAGCAACTCAATTTCTTCCATTATTAGTTGCCTACTGGAATGCAACCTCCTCCATCAATGTTCAGCCATTGAATTTAATGCTTTTTTGCTGTCGTGTTTATTTTCTGGTAGATTTTTAGTAGCATAACTCTGAACTGTACAAAATGAAAGAGTATATAGGGCTCAGCTTTCTTTTTACTATCAACTCAAAACACCAGATACCTTATTTTGAGAGGGAGAGGAAACCAATTTTTCAGCTATATTAAGGTACATTACTGGAGGCATCAGAAAAGACTCAAGCCTCTCCCTGAAACCACAATAGCCATAAACTCCTAAAATCTCCTTGAATCCATAGCTCTTTTAAATTACAGTTTTCTTAAAATCAAGTTCACTTTGATGTTGGAGTCAGCAGGTAAATAAAAGAACCATCCTGCAAAATAAATTAAGAAACTCATTCCCCACAGCAAGAAGAGGTTCAGAAGTGAGTACACTCTATTCAATGCGTAGCAGCATCCCAATCTATTCTATTCCCACTTTGTGAAGTGGAAGATAGGTTAATTCTACTTTTCTGTTAAAATAAGCAAAATATACTAGTGTTTTCACATTTTACTTACAATTTTTCTGTATTTTTATTAGAAATTGCTGTTATTTTGTGTGTGTGCGCGTGTGTGCATGTATGTGTGTTTGTTTTACATATTTTTAAACCTGCAACATAAATTGCAAAGCTAAATGGCTACTGGTGAAGGCATTGTGTGGTGGAAAGAAACTAAAATACAAAGCAATTCATTAAAGCAGCTAATAATGGTAATTCAAATTTTGGGAACAAGGAGGAGAAAGAGTAATGCTTTCTCTGACTGCACAGCTACATCCAATTCAGGAAGATGGATAGAGCTTCACAGAATTTATACCCAAAAAAGTAAATTATAATTCCATCTGCATCCTATAATGGAAAAACAACTATTACATGCTAGTAGGAATTTTCCATGTGGAGAAGTTAATGAAATATTCTTGTAATTTTCATTTGGGGTAACTTTTACCAGAAATTATTATTTTGGCAATTTTTCATATAAAGTCCCTAGATGTAATGCTTCAATTTTGAACAAAGTGGCTTTGGATTCTGGCTTTGGACTTAATATTGGTTTAAAATATTAGAAATTCTAGAAATTAGAATATTAGAAATTAGATATTTTATAAACTGATCGTTATTTCGTATTGCGCCTTTTATGATGGCATATGATCTGATGTGTAAGTTACCAACTGTTCTGATTATGTTTAGCAGGAAGAGTGTCATATTAAAACATAAAAGTACCTATTAGTTGTGCAAATCATTTGTCTCCTGAAAATAAAAAAATAACTTTCATCAGATTTCTGAGCTTGTTTTGCCTTAATGCAATTTTGATTCACTGCAGTCATTCACACAAGTAAGTGGAGGTCTATATGCCTGTTCTGTTAGTAATTATTTCTCAGCTTTTCTAATACAGAGGCCAGAATAAAAATCTTGGATCAACTTGGAAAAGTGAAACTCTTTTTACTTTTAAAAAAAGTCATTAAAGGAAAATATTTATAAAGAAGATTGAAACCTGCAATTAAAAAAGAAAGAGAGGAAGATAATTTTCCTAAGTTTGAGTCTAACCCACTTAAATGATAAAGTCTGGGAAGATTTAGCAAGTCCTACCTATTTCATACAGCATCATGACATTTTGAACATGACATAAATGCCCATGTTTTATTTCTGTAATGTGAGATTTTTGGTCTACTCTACACTAAGCACAACATATTAGTCTATACAGACATTTTCCAAAAGTTTGTGAATTTTCCAATTATAGTTTGACAGTAAAATGTAACTTTACATCAACTCCTCTAAAAAGCTGGGATAATCTGGTGTAATCGTAAGAATTGCATAACAATGCTAATATATGAATTTTCTATACTTTTTCACTAGGATTTTGAAATATGGGAAGTCAAGTCAACCTGAAGTCCAGTGACAAAACAGAGGAAGATGGGGCTATGCACAGCCCAAGCCAATCAGAATGAACTCAGACAAAGCAGTCATAATTTCCCCACATTCTCTTCTGAATTTAAAGCTTCTTTTGTTACAGTGCAAAAAGTGGGATAATTGTTGAAAACTGAAAAAGTCTTAGCAAAATGCTTCTCAAGAGTGCATTGCCTCTGCTAGTCTGTTTGACAGACCCCAGAGAAGGTTAAGACAAAAGGTGGAAACCAAAACGTGGATACATAATAAAGGGATGAGGCACACTCTCTCTGCATCACGCCTGTAATTATACCATTTCTGCTAAAATTACAGATGCGGCAATTAAAACGTGCATTTTAATTTGGGTGCACAAAAACAATTAGGAACAATGCTGAGGTGTCTCTCCCAGGCAGATCCAAGTGATTTTCACATTATAAAAGAGAGACAATTTCTTTATTTCAAATGTCAAACAACATTATATATAACGTGTGTGTGTGTGTGTGTGTGTGTGTGTGTGTGTGTGTGTGTAAAACAAAAAAGAGACAAGTGTTCTTCTCTGAAAGAACTGCCTATTAAGTGAAGGTATTTCTTTTTCTGTTTTTCTGTTCGTCTTCTCATTTTGGTCCATCTGCATTGGATTATAACCCAGCTACTTTTAAAACTAAACAGTTGCTATTCTGTTCATTTGATGACAGGTTCACATACAATATTTTACCCAAACCTTTGCAGTAGGACCTAAAAGTTAGCTACCTGGATTTTGCCAGTCAAGTTGCACGGGAGAAGACAGATTGGGGAAGACTACTTTAGTGTATAATGCTTTTAGGAATCGTAGAAGCTTAATCTAGATGCAGACACACACACCGAAGAGTGTGTTTCTTCATTCTGCCACCATATCTTTCTTCCAATCAGACATGGGTAAGGGCTGGATGTAGCAGGAGTGTAAAAGTTCAGGACAGCAGCTGCATTTGGCAGGGATCAAAATTTGAGACCTTTGGGACAGGCTGAGGATGGGAGTTGTATAAATTTAATAAATTATTATTATTCTTTCATAGTATCTAAAGAACTGTCAAAATTTTCTCCACAAAAATGTCATTGCCCAGCCCAGTTTTGGATGTAAAGTTTGACACCACTCAAATTTATACACACACCTGAACTAAACCATCACAGTAATAGATGCAAGAATTACTAAAATGAAATTTATCCCATTGGTGTTAATTATACTCTTGGTTATCCCAACTTCAAACTTGCCAAATAATAATAATGTGCTTTACCACTCATAAATACTGAATGATGTAAAGTTTTTTTTTAATGTAAAAAACAAACATCCAACTCTCAGTTTTCCTTGGCCTATCACTGACTCTGCTAAGGGTGCTGGACTCTGTTGTACACATGCTAATCCAGGAAGAAACACAAGTTATTGCCTACTAATTTCCGAGATTGCAAAAAGACCTAATTTTATATCCTTTCTTTTTTATCTGTACTTATATTATATATAGTGATCTCCAAGGCAACAGGGGATTGTCAAGAGTAATGAACATTAATTTTCATTAATGTTGGACAAGTGTTATGTTAATTCACTGAATTGTACAAAATATTTAGAAATGAAGCAGTCCTTAAGCTGATGTGATAAATAAATATAATCCAAATAATTTTGTAACAAAATATAAATTATTTTGAAGAAGTTCTAGTCATTCAAGTCAGGATATTAACTGACAACTGATTATTACATTCTTTGACTTGCTTCCTTTCATAAATAATTCTGTATCAGAAAAGCTAAAGGTCTCGAAGTGTCCAATGTTCAGCATCAACCTATTTCCTGACAGTACAATTAAAACAGTAAACAATAATAGCAATAGCATTTAGACTTAAATACCGCTTCACAATGCTTTATAGTCCTCTCTAAGCAGTTTATGGAGTCAGCATATTGCCCCCAACAATCTGAGTCCTCATTTTATCAATGAAAGGCTGAGTCAACCTTGAATCAGGATCGAACTGTTGGCAGTGAACAGTGAATTAGCCTGCAGTACTGCATTCTAACCACTGCACCACCAAGACTCTTGATAAACTTAATGATAAAATTAATATAATGGTATATCCATCTAAAGAAATACCTTTGGATCTGCTTCCCAACATTGGAGCATCAATTCTGCAAAACTTCCAGGACAGCTGCTTGGAATGGTCAGTCTCTGAGATAAAAGAAAGAAAGTAGTGAATAAAATTCAGGGATGTCAAACTGGCGGCCCATGAGCTGGATGCATCACATGCAGGCCATGCCCAGACCAGCTCCGCAAATGGGAAAAACATCACGAAACATAATGTGGTGAGTTTGACACCCGTGATCCTATGGTTATATTATGGGGAAAAACCTTCCTAAATCTATTATCATTGTAGGGAAAACAATACTGTATAACATTTTTGGAGTGAAAGGTTTTTAGAACTATATTCCTGTAATGTCTACAAGTCTTTTAAAATTATATTATATTTCTCTTGCTTTCCTACCCAGTATAGCTTTCTATATATACTCAATATAGCATGAAGTATGTATAGCTATTTTCCCAAGGTTTTAAAGAATCTAAGTTTCTGAATCACTCCTGAAATATTCTTGTTTACTTTGATTCATAAAATTCATTAAATCCCTATTTCTTTTGTTGGAGCACATTAAATACTCATACATACGTCTTAATTGGTTATTTTCTACAGTGCTTTGAAAACGAATGAGATGGTGTGCTTTGGACTATACAGTACAAGCCAAAGTGTGCCTCTGCTATTCAAAAAAACACCCTACAGATTTTCATGCCTCCACATACACCTGAAAAAAAGATGCAGATGCTTTGAGAGTACAATGAGTCAGCTCCTTAAAGTAGCAGCATCTTTAAATGGCTTCTGCAAAGACTGAAAACAGCAGCCCGCTTTAATGAAGAATAGTAAGATGCCATGTTCACATAAGTTCCAAAGAGCTTCTCTGAATCATTTTCAAAGAATGCATAGCCCTATTCATTATTTAAAACAAGTGTTAAATGATGTTAAGAGGTCTTGTGATCTACATCCTACTTAAAATAATCATTCAAATTTAAATATGTATAGTAATTATCATGTCAAGTTAACCATAAAGCATTCTAGCATTTTAATGATGAATTAATGTCATAAAAATCCAGTTTATACTGGCCAACAGAATATAAGATTAGGAAAGACTATGATGAAAAAAAAAAGGCAAGTACTAACCAAAAAATGGATGATAAATAACAAAATAACAGAATCTGTTTATTGGAGAAAAATCCCCAACTCCCTATCAGAATCCTAAACCGCCTGCTGTAAAAAAAGTATTTATAAGTGACATATTTTATCATTCATACTTCAAAAATATTTGGAAAAACTTCTAATATTTTGAAGATGCTAGACATCTTATTAAAAGTAAACATTTAAATCTAAAATATTTAACAGTACTTATCTATTTACTCGATTTCTATTGGAGTAAGGAGAAATGCAACTTGTTATTTAAAACTAAACCTTAACAGGAATATATTAGTGTGTTAATTACAGTTTTCTGATAACAAGAATATCTGCATATTTGTTACTATGCTATTGATAATAAAGGAAATGCCACAATAAAAAGAATAATGGTATTGCTCCTGCTGATAGAAAAAGATAACTGTTAATATCCTCATCTATAGCAAGACAGGAAAAATTACAGCTAATTCTGTGGATTAACTGATATAATTATAAAAAGCAGTTATATCTGAGTTTCTCACAACTCTGCTTAGTGGTTAAAATGACGCTTTTCAAATAGGCACATAGAGTAAGTTAAATAAAATACATCACTATATGAGTATATATACTAGGACTTGCAAAACCTTATAGCTGTTGTGCTCCGAACAGGTGTTAGTTTAAAAAACAAAACCAAGATGATTTGCTAAGATAATGAAAAACAGGAAAGAAGAAATGTAAACAGTAGTCATGTAATCTGATTAGAAATCCTTAAATCATGAATATTATGAATGCAAAGAACATACATATCAGAAGTTAAATCTTTTGGCATAAACAAAGTAGCATTGACACTTGATATTCAAGTAGGTCATTTCCCTAAAAATATACCTGACAATCTAGCCATGGCATTTGTCTCTCACCCTCATAGTTCCAGGGATGGAAAATGAGTTATTAAACTCATTGCTTACATATATCTTGCTGGAATAGAACGTTATTCATCGGCTAGACCCTCAGGACAGTCATATTCTAATAAAAGTAGCATGTCTTAATAATGTGATATTAATTTTATTTGACATTAAATAAAATCTCCTTTAACAGAATTTATACCTCTAATAAAGAACATGAGATTATCAAGGAAACAATAATAAAAAGATATAAGCGTGGTATGGGAGATGTAATTCTCTACTCAGGAATAACTCTTACCCAGTACTATACCGTGCAACTTAAATATGAGTAGCACCTGCAAACTTAAATATGAGTAGCACCTGCAAAATAAGTCTCTCAATGATCTAGTATAATTTAAATGGACACATACTGAATCTAAACTATTTGTTCAAATCTCTGACTATGAATTTCATCTGGACTTTATGTCTTTGACAGAACAGAGGTCTCTATAGACAGTCTTACGTATCTTTCAGATTCTTCTGCACTTTTTTGGAATAAGGGTTTACTTCCATTGTCTTTAAGTATCTTATGGGTTACATCTGCACTAAGTTTCCAAAGAATAGAACTCTCCCAAGGACTAAATATGAGATTCATTGTTTTTCCTTACAGTGTAAATTCAATGCAATTATTATAAGGTGGTGGAGTCAATGTGTCATGTTATAAGTCATGTTTTAGGCCCATTAAAATCTGTGGGACAAGTTAATTATACTGAATTTAGGTCCCATTGATTTCAATGGGGGACTAAAGCATGACTAACTTACTTAGAATTGAACACATATTTTGCAGAGTGACAATTCACTGGGAGGCTAGTGCCTCAGACATTCAACCACTTTATTAGGGATTATTTTAAGGTCACAAAGAATATATACTGTATATATTTCAGGTTTTTGCAAGAGGAAAAACTGGAATCTTTTTTTAAAAAGCATATACAATATAATAACTTTTTGCTATGATACTATTTCTATATTTACTGTATTATTCTACTGAACCTATGAGCACTTCAATTGTAGTCACTACTATTCCTCTTAATGTTTTTGACTTTTTCAAAAAATTGATGACCAACTAATATGCTTAATTTGGATTGGATTGTACCCAGTTTAAGGAAACTAACATGAAGTGGCAGAACTGACCTAGTATTTATACATTTGTTACATACCAAAATCGTGTATCCAACTATAAGATCAGAGCATTGATCCAGATGGAGATGTTCCTTACTTAATGCTTGTCTGCTGGATGGGATGAGGCTATTTTGATGAAATCAAATAAAACTTTCCTCATGTTTAAAAAATAAAAATGATACATACTACATCTTATTATTTCAAGATTAAATTTGTAAGAATCAGATATAAATTTAGAATGAGTGACAGAACACCCAAACTAAATTGGTTATTCCACTTTGATTGACAGTTATCACAGGCCTTCTATACTTCAGAAAGAATATTTAAAAGTGAGAATGTCATGTTTTTCATTAATTCCTTCCTGTTTTTTTAAACATGATAATTAAATCTATTATATGTAAAGGTTTTAACAATATTTTAGGGAGCCAGCAATAAAACAAAGAAACCAAGAAGTCATATTACAGAAATTGCCTAAGTTATTTTATAATGGTACCCAACCTTCCAGCCAACTTAGACAGATGAGGAATCCTAAATGTTGTCTGCATGCAATAAAGCCGCCACGGCTACATTTCTTCTTTAAAACGAAACTTCCTGTTCTTTGATACTAAAGAGACCATGTGTTCAAATATGCACTCCCATGTTCAACTATCTAAAAGCCTCAATTTGTAGCCAGAAGAAAAGCAACACTGGGGACACGTACAAAGGGTGTTTACGCCACTGAAGTCCTTTTGAAGTGGAAAGACACGGCATGAGGAGGCTTGCAACTATGGCATAGCCTTACCAGTTCCAGTGAGGAGCTCATCTTCAATGGACTGAGGAACGTGGGTGGCAAAACTGTAATTTTCTTCTTTTTAAACTATTTTTATCTTCTTTTATTTTTGAAATCCTCATCTAAGTGGCAGTTTCTTGTATTATAGTGACTCCTGCTGGGAGAGTTAAGTTGAAGTAGCTGAAGGTCTCTTACAGATAGATCAACTCCCGGCCAGTATAAAGATGTCCTAAATGCAGGAGATGGAGTTAAACTGTTCTCCTACCTTGGACGCAATGGCTTCTTTCATCCCTAAGAACAAACCCACAGGTTTTACAATTGAGACTGAGAAGCTAGTACAGTACTTGTATAATTTTTGATCTACAGCATCACGACGTGAAGCTGCAACAATTAGATGTAAAGGGTCCATTCATGAGGAATAACATCACTTTGACCCTTTGTGTTAGCTCCTACTGCTAATCTTTCCATACGCGTGAACTTACTTTCAATTTGAGGAAGATGAAAAAGTCTTTTGCAAAACCCAACACTGTTTTCTGATCTATGTACCTGAATGTAGAAACGTAGTCTTACCTCGTTTTTTTCCACTACAAGCCAAGCTACTTGTAATCCTTCCAAGCCTTTAAAGGGGACTTCCCTTGTTAGCATCTCCCAGAGAACCTGGAATGGAAAGAAAAAGAAAAAGGATTTTTTATTACTGTATTTTTTATTTTAAATATGTTATTAAACCTTGATGCACTGTGATCTGTATCCAATTACTAGGCAATCATAGCCCATTAGCAGAAACCTGGATATATGTTTGTGCTTAAGAGAGTTATGCCAAGTCAACATTGAATATTTCTTATTTTTAATAATGAACCCTTATTTAACAAATACTGAGAGAGAACCAGGGACTAGATTTTGTGAGTATCTTCTTGTACCTCCAATGTTTGATGGTTGAGATAGTCAAAGAAATAAGATTTCTTGTTTTCAACTAGAAATACTAGAAAATGTTTCTGGAATGTACTCTGACTTGTACTTTAAACTAGAGACCTTGGGTTTGTTTTTTCTGGAGGTAAGTTTAACATTTAAAAAATACTTACTATAGCAAACAGATTTGTAAGCAACAAAATAACTTCCATCTTCCAAATATTTCAGAATACCAACTTTATAGAAATATTTTATAAATTATATTTCATACTTAGCCAAATAACAGCCATATAAATTTACTTTACAGTACAGTGTGGTATGACCTCAGCTAATTTTATTTGGTTGATATTTCACCATTATAACAAAAGATAACACAACTGGTTATCTCAAAGAGAGCAATAATCTCTTTTTTCCAGGCAAGTAGTCATATTTACAAAAGTAATTGCCTCTCTTGACTACACAAGGTAGACATATTTCTGTTGATCTGTGTTGGAAAATGTATTATTTAGCTAAAGTAAATATTTATATTTTTATTTGATATTTATATTGATTTCCTATTGATATTTTTAACAAAATAATGACCTGGCTACGAATTCCAGAGATCAATATTCTCCACTAAGCATTTAAAATTCCTAACTTGTGGTTTAGTTGGGTCAATTACCTTTTTAAAAAGATAATTAATAACGTATTGCCAGATATTGTTGTCCATTTATATGATGGGGGGAACCCTTGATGTTGAGGCAGGTTTTCCATCACAGGAGGTACCACAGCATCTTAGGAGTTAAATAGACCTCATTAAGTCATAAAACTTCACACAACAATTCTTTAAAACAGGATACAGTAGTCCCTGTCTCCATTGTTATGTCCTCAACATAATATTTTTAAGTAATAAACTTTTATAAACTTTTATAAAGTTTATTACTTAAAAACATTATGCTGAGAACATAACAATGGAGACAGGAACTACTGTATCATACTTTAAAGAATTGTTGTGTAAAGTAAAAGGAAACAGAAAAATTCTTCTGTATTGTGATTATCTGGCCAGGCCGAGAAAGGACATTTCTCTTCATCAGTTTAATCCATTTTCTTCTGTCACACACATACAAAAATGTCCAGATTGACCAAGTGAGTTTACGTGTAACTATTATTTATCTCTTAGGTTTAGAGATATATCCCACCTTGATTTTATACAGGTAACTCACAGCTACCTATTTTGCTGTTATGGGATGGAGAGAGCAGTTTTATGGTTATACAAATAATAATATGGGAATGTAATTGTAGTAGGACCATTATATCATTTCTGAAAGGGACAGCTATGATAGATCAAATAATGAAAACTATAGGTATCAAGTTATAAACTTGCTTCAACTTCAGCCACAGTAAAAAGTCATTTTTAAAAATCTCTATATGGTTCACAAGAATATGTTTCTCAGAATTTTTATTCAGCACAGCTGGAATGTCCCAAACCTTACTGTCACTCTCAATCACAGCTGCTAACTATAATTCATTAAGAAATATAGAAATTTTGTACAACTAAACAATAAACAACAAACCTAACACTTGGGTTTAAAAGAAGTGCGCCCCAAGATGTTTTCATCCCAAGAGACATATGTACATTATTACTCAGTGTCATGATACATTTTCATTTGCTTTTATTTCCAAACTTGAAGCCTGCTATGTTAAACATATGCTGTATACATTATATTTATTTATTAAATGTATTGGTCGCCCAACTCCAATGTATTCTGGAAGATATATATGTTGGTGGAAATTTTACTGGGCTTACATTTGAACTGTATAATTCTCAGATCAGGTAAAAGATCATGTTACCTTCCTCCTCCTATAAAGTTCCATGTCTAGGACATGTCTAAAACAGTAAATTAGATGGTATTAAACATTATTTGGGGAGGCAAACAGATATTTATAATTAGATAGATTATAAATCTTAAATCTGAATTCAGTTTTGGGTCATTTTCATATAACAAAAGATTCTGACTAAAAGCATGTTTACTTTTTAAAACTTGATTTATTTCGGGAGACTGTGGCTTACTTCAACATAAAGGGATATGGAACTTGAGACATTCTATTCCAGCTTCATGAAATAATTTGTAAAGGCCGGAAAATTATAAATGGGTACAACAATCACCTTTCCTCATGTTCTTATGACTTCTTCATAAAAGACAAGTTCAACTTGACCAAGAAAGCCTGGACTTTTAGGTGGACATCATATTGCAGTGTAAAAATGCTTCATTGTACATTGTAAGAAATGTAATAGTTTAATGAATACAATCTATTTTGGCAGAAAAAAATAATAAATAAAAGAAATGCTACGGATTCTGCCAACAGAACAGTATTTCTCAACATCTTCGTGGCTTACATTTGAAAAAGATTCTGCTCTTTGTTATCACAATTTCAGCTGTGTTTCAAATGATGAAAAACAGATGTCTGTGCAGCACAAAAGCCATTTGTTAGCGCTCTAGATTGTATTACTTGACCATTCAAAACTTTTATTTATGGATGAGATTGTTTTAAATCAAAAAGTGCCACATTTTTCATGGATTCATTATCTCTGGAACACATTGTTAGTCTGCTTGATTAGAAGTTGAAAGCCTACAGGATAAAAGAAATCTTGATAGAAATCAACAGTGAGGAGAATCAATACTAATGCACTTAAGTTTACTTGAACAGATTTCTAGGGTAGAATTTAAAATGTGCAGAAGTAAAAACACACGCCTGACAGGGCTTTCTCCTCCTAAATTCCCTCTGAATCTACCCTCCCCTTCTAAAAATTGTGCTTTAGAATAAACAGATTTTGAGATCGCACAAAGGACTGGGAATTCGCTCTTTTTTGTCCCATTGAGAGTAACAAGGGAATGATTTAATTAGATTATTATTTATCTATAAACATTTAACTCTGAGCCAAACTGCAATTATTTCCAAATTTCATTCTCTCCCTAAATGTTTCAAACTCTTTTCACTATTTAAGATGCAGAACACCAAGCTGGGGGAAAAAAGATATTATAGGCTTTGAAATTGTGTGTATGTGCCTGAAACATACAACTGTTACTCAACTCCTTTATTTTAATCCTGGTGTGTCCAACCTGAGGCATATGTGTCATTGGACAGCTAGTAATGCCACCCAAAAGAATTTAAACATTTAACATTATTTATACATAGAAATACATTAACTATACTATAAATTTTACATATGGACCAAGACAATTCCTCTTCACTCAATGCAGTCCAGGCAAGTCTAAAGGTTGGACATGCCTGCATTAACCAGTGATCACCATTTTATCCATAAGCCAATTTCTGAACTACTTTCTTTTACTGAAGTTAACTTTTCCCCCAAAAAATTGCAAGCTGCAATTCTAGATATGCTTGTCTGGCAGTGAACCCATTAAACGTCCTTTAGTTTTCTTCTGAATAGATTTACAGGTTTGACTGACTATAAGTAGGCAACAATTAGTTCTCCTTGAAATCAGAAAAACTCAAGTTCTTCTTAACTGCTTTTAACACTGATTTTTAATTAATTGATTAACTAGTTAATATAAATTTCATGAGCAATTGTAAAAATGTTTTTAAAGAAACAAGGTACCACAAATTAGAGAATGATGAAATCCAAAAAAATTATGTGTGGGTGGGTGATACATAAAACCCAATGAGTACCTCAGAAATAGAACTTGGCTTTGGTGCTTTCATATGTGTATGGACCATGAACATGAATTATATCCAGTTGTTTAAAGACCGATTTATATAAGCTATTCAGAAGCGTGGACAGAAATATGTTTACTCACCACACCATATGAATATGTATCACATGTTTCTGATACTGGGAGACTCTGTATTACTTCTGGAGCCATCCAAGGAAAAGTGCCAACCAGAGACATGTGTGTTGTATGGGAATGAAATCTTGAAGCCCCAAAATCACAAATCTGGGAGAGAAAATAGTGTTTAAAAAAAGAAAAAAGAAACACAGCATGCCCAATTCAGCATAACAAATATTTTTTTATAAAAAGATTGAAATATTCCTACCTTCAATACTCCATCACCAGCTATAACAACTGAAATTTTTTTTAAAAAAGAGAAAAGTATATTAATACTATGAAGAAACCATAGGCATTTCTTTAGAAAAAAAACCTCCATATATTATAGGTTTATAGATACAGGCAGGACCAATTAAATTCTCTGGCTGACATGAATCAAAAACCAGATGGCTTTGTTATTGACTTGATTCTCTCCATGCAGAATCATGGCAGATAAATCACCAATAATGTCAAGTTAATGAGTTGCAGCAATGGAGCTGAAAAATGTATTATTAACAATTACTGAGAAATAATTAATAATTAAAGTCACGATTTATAATTCAGTCACATATATCTTTAAAATATGCAATAAAGAATATCAAAGACAATTGTAAAATTTCCCAATCTTTTGAAACGAAACAAAAGGAAAAAAAAATACTAAAGGAAGTTCCCTTATCAGTGAGAATGGAGGCATATAAATGTAATAAATAAATCAATATGAAAATAAAGGGGTTTAGAAACAACTGAAATTTATGTAATAGTTATTTTTAGCACATTTAGCCAGTATAAAGATGATATAATATATGACATACAGTATACGGTATATGGTGTGTGTGTGTGTGTGTGTGTGTGTGTGTATTCGTGCCAGATGGCATGAAGCCGAAAGCACCAGCCTGAGGATGGCGAGTGGGACCTCGCCGAAACGTCACCAAGATACTCTTAATCTTACACGGGAAAAGACCTGAACACACCTTGACCTACATACCTGTACCCATGAAAATCTATGAATAGGTATTCAGCTTTGTTTGGGTATTTTCCCACGTCATTATAGTTGTGCTTTTAAAGTTGTAGCAATGTTTCGGCAGAATCTCATCTGCCATCATCAGGCTTCTGTATTGTGTTCGTCAGAAGCCTAATGATGGCAGATGAGATTCTGCCAAAACGTTGCTACAACTTTAAAAGCACAACTATAATGACGTGGGAAAATACCCGAACAAAGCTGAATACCATACATGTAAGTACCCGCGAAAACTTAAAAAAACAAATATATATATATATATA